TATGGCTAGGGATGTTGAACATTTCTTCATGTGTCTATTGGCCATCCTTCTTTCTTCTTCAGAGAAGTTTCTCTTTAAGTCTTTCTCCCACTTATTTATTGGGCAGTTGTTTCTTTGAGGATTTGTTGTTGGGGGGTTTAATTTTTTGAGTTCCAAGTATATTTTAGATCACTTTGTTTCTGAAGCAATGCCACCTTTACTTCTTCCCTCTGCCCACTGATACTTAAAAATCATATAATTTCATTTGTCAGTAAGTGATCACAAGCTTACGTGTCCTATCCTTTTGTGTGTGTGTTGTGGGGCTTTAACTCCGGGCCTCCAGGCCTGGGTGCTGTCCCTCAGCTCTTCAGCTTAAGGCAAGTGCTCTACTGCTTGAACCACAGCACCACTTCCAGTTTTCTAAAAGCTTATTGGTGATAAGAGTCTCACGGAGTTTCCTGCCTAGGCTGGCTTTAAACCATGGTAGTCAGATCTCAGCCTCCTGAGTAGCTAGGATTACAGGCAGGAGCCACCGGCGCCCAGCTATGTCTCATCCTTCTGTGATGCTGCCAAAGCACTTTTAGTATAACGTACCATCCATGAAACCAGGTATATGGCTCATGTGTGGAATCCTACCTTGAGTTAAAAAACTAAAGGGCAAAGCCCAGGTCCCTGTGTTCAAGCCCTAATACTGGCACACAAAAAAATTAGGTATAGACCAGGAACTACAAACTCTCAGACCTAACTCAGATCTACTGGCTCAACTTCTGTATTTTCATGGGATCCCAAAGAATTTCATATGCTTATCCACTTGAGGGGCCCTGCATTAAGACAGCTCAACCCATTCTCTTTGCCATGCACCTGTCTGACCTTCTTCCCTCTGGAATCCCTGTCTGGTTTCACAGAGGACATCACCGTTCAGAAGCAGCACCTTGAACACCATGTCTCATTTGTTTCTGTCCACAGCCCAGTGACCTACATTTAATACTGCTCCACACATCTACACTCCTCTCTCTCTTTCTCCTTTGGTTACTTGTCCATGGCAAGTCTGTGATGAGGCAATAAATGAGCTCACCCTTCAAGAAATAAAGGAAGACAATGATTAGAATGGCCCTGAAATAGAAGCATGAGTGTGAAACAAGACGAGAGAATTTATTAGATAATTTTCTTTAATATCAGTGGACCCTAAAACTTGATGCTGATGATAAGCTACATTTGTACAGAACTTTTACTTTGCATACAGTTCGATACAGGCAAGTGTCATGTTACAAAGCTGAGGCCAATGTAGACACAGCTCAGAGTACTGCAATCAAAAGATGAAGAACAAAAGCCAAAATGATATCTTTCTTTTTTTCTTTTGGCAGTCATGGGACTTGAACTCATGGCCTGGGCCCTGTCCCTGAGTTTTTGTGCTCAAGACTAGCACTGAACTACCTTAATTCACAGCACTACTTCCAGTTTCCTGATAGCTAATTGGAGATAAGAGTCCCAAGGAATTTCTTGCCTGGGCTGGCTTTGAATCATGATCCTCAGATCTCAGCCTCCTGAATAGCTAGGATTGCAGGCATGAGCCACCAGCACCCAGCAGCCAAAATAATTTCAAAATAACTCAATTGTTTTACTTGCAACTTTTTGCGGGTTGAGGGCAGTATTAGAGCTTGAATTCAGGGCCTCAGCATTGACCCTTAGCTGTTACAACTTTTTAGTGGTTAATTGTTCATTAGAGTCCCACAGACTTTACTGCTTGGGTTGGCTTTGAAATATGATCTGCATATCTCAGCCTCCTGAGCAGCTGAACTCTGGGAAGGAGTTCAAGACTGCAGAATTTAGAAATAGTCCTCTATAGTCTTTCTTCCTTCACACACTATGGCTGCTTCTAACCTGTATGCTGTTAATGTTCCCAAGCACCCCTGCATAAGAGGTCTGGAACTATGTGTATACAATACCCTTGTGCCCATTTTTTCTACAAGGTATTCATAGCACAAACTCTGAGTGGGGAGACATGACATGCCTTAGATTTTAGGGTCTTGCTGTGTCTTTGTTTTAAGAAAACATAAAATACTTAAGGTAATATTTATGTCCTCAAGAGGTTCATAATGTCAACATAAGCAGGGGTCATGAAATAATGAAAGAATATTACAAGCCACCAGATATTTGCTGTGAGCTTGTGTGTGGCACATGGGAAGAAGATCTCAGAGAAGGCTTCTTGGGATACAGAAGTCAAGGGAGGCTGCATAGTAGAGCTGAGACCTGAGCTGGCTTCACAAAATCAGTAACCTATGTATGGGTAAATATGGTAAGGAAGGGTAGCTGATTTTTATACAGTATTCATTAAATGCTTACACTACTTTTTTTAAAAAAATCTCTTTTTAATCTCATAGACATATTACATGGAGAGGAGTTTCCATTCTACTGTTGGATGAGGACAGCAAGACAGCTGGAACTTAAGTATTTATCCAGAGTCAATAGGTACACCCTAGGCAGTCTGTCTTCTGAGACATGTTCTCAACCATTATGTGGTATCCCACAGAGAAAGGGGGAGCAGGGGATCCAAGAGAGCAGCTATCATGAGCAGAAGGTAACCACGGGAAGAGAAGGACAATTGACGCTCACTCCTGGGAGTGGACATCCTGTTTAAGGAATGGGGGGAAATTTTTTAAACAAATGGCTAAGGTGGAAGGGACACTGACCTGGAATGCCAAGATAATATGGAGAATTCTTGGAAGGAACTGCAAAGAGAAGAAGAAATCACCTAGCAGACTAGCATTTATTCAAAGATGAAAATATCCAAAATTCTCATTGATTTTGCCCTACTGAACATCCCAGATAATGTGGGCATGGAGTGAAGCAGGAAGGAATGGGCAGAGTTATGAGGGATGTGTTGGGATAATCCAGGGAGAACTATGAGATGCCAAGGCAGGGCCACCACACCAAACTCAAGGAGAAGTCTAAGAGCCCCTTCACAAGCCACGATTCAGTGCAAGAGCGATGGTATCATTTGTGCAGGGACATTAACTTATGCTGGTTATGATTTAAGGGTACTAGTGCATGCTAGCAGGGGGTTAATTGTCCCACCTCCTAAGTCAATGAGGACATGGGGCCCCCCTCCCCAGGCAGCCTGGGGAGACATTGCGCTTCCCTCCTCATCCTTACTCCTAGCTTAACTTCATCTGGAAGTGAGTGAGTAGTCATTTGCTTGGCACTTGTTCTCAGCTGAATGGATTCTTCTGTACATGAAGGATCACGTGGAGTGCCCTGCTGGATAAAGGGTATTACACTTAAAGAGGAAAGTCTTATTTTCCCAGCTATAAAGCTCACCGCCTTAATTAGAAAATAATGAAGGGGAGCCTTCTCTTTTCATTATTGGTAGTGTTTGAGATTGTGCTTTTAAGGGAACCTGTTCTGCCCTCCCCCGCCCAAATTTTTACCAACTGAGAGCTCATTTAAGGAGAACAAAACACTTCACTCGATGCAGGAAAAAGCTCCACAGGGCTAATGCTAAAACTATGCATTATACTCTTATGCCTCTTTATAGCCACCATGGCTTTTCATTAAATCTCCTTAAGAGGCCACCTTAAAATGTCCCACCCTACATCAACTTTAAAATATTTTGGATGAGTGGTCATACCA